TGGGTGGAGGGGGGGTTTCATATCAGTGTTCCCTCTAAGCTGAGTTAGTGTGAGCTAGCTCACAGTTTTTTAGCCTCCGGCTCATGCATTTTTGTTTTCGCTCAGGAAGGATGGCTCCAGAGCAAACAGCAGCCAAATCGCCTGCTCACAACTTTAATGTCAGCTGCTCACAAAGTAAAATTTTTGCTCACAGGACTCCACAACTTAGAGGGAAGCACTGATCCCCACTGAAGCTCACAGGTTGACCATCGGGCCAGGCATTCTTTCCCAGCCTCCCCTGCCTCAGAGGTTACGAAGATAAAGAGGAAGGAGGGAAGAGTCTTGTATTGGAGGGGGGAATGGGGGGGGATAAGCCTGTGATACAAGGGACTTTTTCACTCCTTCTTTGAACTGCAACACGCTTCAAACTTGTCACAGCACCTTACGATCTAGTCTGGAAAGTCTCAATGTCACGGGGAGGTGCCTGCTGTGGGCGAGTCCGAGTGAAAGCAGCAGCAGTTCAAAGCCTCCTGGGGCGGGAAGGACGAGTTGGGCGATTCCCAAGATCTCGTGCCAGGCAAAGCCTCCCTCACTCGTCGCCTATTGAAGACCGCAGGGAGCGCTCCCTTGTGCAAATGCACCGTTCCGCGAGGACGGCCGTGTCTATTTGGAGAGGGGGAGCCCACCCCGACCAGTCAACAACTGACCTTCACCTCGATGAAATCTGGCTTGCCGAGAGACACCAACTCCGAATAGGCCTGGAGTTCCTCCACGTTCCAGGCTTTCACCAGAGTTAGCCTATAGACGGTCCGTTGTTGCTGCAAAAGAAACCGCTGATCAGAATTCAGTCACTTGGTACAGAATACAAAAGGATAATCAGGGCAAGGGGCCAGATCCAATCTAAATATTCCAGTGACTTGCAGGGGGGATGTAACTTCTGCCAATCCATAATTCATTCATTCATTCATTCGAGGAAGCCTACATAGCACATAGGCTTTTGGGCAAAACAACATAACAATAGCAGAAATACATGAGAAAAAGGAACATTGCTTCTGCCAGTTCACCCTTCCCGCTGCAGATCCCCAATTTGCCTCTCATGCAATTTCCAACGGTCCTCTGACCCCCCACCCACCCTCCCCCACCCCAAGCAGCATTTCAGGGAGATCAATGGGCTACAGTTGGGAGAGGCAAGATTGGGAAAGTTCTGTTTCACTGATTAAAGTAACTTCCGTCAGCTGAAAATTTAGTCTGGATCCAACCCTGTTTCCCGATCACGTGGAACAGAATTTAACATCCGGTTTTCATTGGAAATGACAAAAGAAACAAGTTACTAGTCCTCATGGCTATGCAAATATGACTGAAAGTGCAGTCTCCGCTGCCACACAAGGAGCAATGGAGACTATGGGTTGGATCCAGGCTACATTTTCCATTCGTGGAATGGAACTTTCCTGTCTTTCCCCTCCCACTGCAGCCGGTTGATCTCCATGAAATGCTGCTCCAGGAAGATAGGGGGACCCCTCAGTAATTACATGAGGAGGAGTCTACAGCAGGAAAGGGGAACCAACACGAATTACCCCACACCGCCAATCAGCAGAAAATGTACTCTGGCTCCAACCCGATATGCACGTGCAGAGATACACAGCACAGAGCTCATAGAGAAGGAGGAGGAAGAAGAGACTGGATTTATACCCCGCCCTTCACTCAGAGTCTCAGAACGGCTTACAAACTCCTTTCCCTTCCCTTCCCCACAACAGACACCCTGTGAGGTAGGTGGGGCCGAGAGAGCTCTTTCGAGAATGGCTCGTGAGAGAACAGCTTCGAGAGAACTTGTGACTGACCCGAGATCACACCAACAGCTCCAAGTTTAGAGTCCGTGCTCTTAACCACTACACCAAACTGGCTCTCAAGGAAGTGCCAAGTTCTCTGGCACCTAAGAACCTGAAAGTTTGATGCTGATGCCAAGGAAATTGCAGTCCTGTACTTGCCTGCATTTGAAGGACAGTACATTATAACCTGAACCTTTCTAGTCTCTGTGTCAGCTATGCTGCCATGGGGGTTGGGGAGTTCATTCTGTGTTTGGTAATTGCTATTGCATTCCTATCTCTGCTGTTCTGCCTGTGCCGCAATGCTTATCTCTACAGATGTGCAGGAGGATGTTGTGTTGGAAGCTGTATTGTCTGAAAGTCTGGAAGTGAGAGACTACTGCTTCCCAGCTTTCGCCACCTAACGGTTTCCTAGCTGGTCCCGCGTGCGGGAGGGTAGCTAATTGGCCCATGCCATGGGGGGTGCATACGAATGCCCTATACCCTATTATGTTCAATGGGTTGCCGCCATTCTTAACAGTGCCTGTGTTACTGCATCTATAGCTTTGCAATAAAAGTATAACCGTTCCTGAATGTGTGTACTTCGTTGTAAGCTGTGGGTTCTGACACTCTGGAGGGGAAAGCAAAGTCCCTTGAACTTTGTACCTTCTCAGCCAAGGCCTTTAAGCTGTCCAGGAACCTCTGCCAGAAGTCTTTGAAGAGGGGCCGGTCGATCTTCTTCAGACTCTCTTTGGTGCTGGCATCCACGCTGACGTAAAGCTGAGTCACGGGCTCAAGGTTCCTTTGGGGAGGAGGGAGAATGTCAGGCTCAGACATTTGACCAACTGTACCTGTTGTATTCCTGTCATGATGATTGCTGTAACCTTTTCCCCTTCTTCTCCCCCGCCCCGTCCTATGGCCATGTTCTTATTGCTTACCCTCGCCTGCTATTGCATTCCTGGGGGGGGGCTTTTCTGTAGGAGCAGGGAGGCTAGCTTCTGTAAAAAGCACTTTTCACATGGGAAGTGTCCTTGGAGAAAGAGTCTGTCTTTGGCTAGTTATAGACCGTATATCTCTCATGGTCTTTGTAGTAGAAGTGTCCATGGAGAAAGAGTCTGTCTTTGGCTAGTTATAGACCGTCTATCTCTCATGGTCTTTGTAGTAGAGCTGACGTGTATGAATGGAATGTGGGACTGTAACTATCTGCACCTTTCCCGCCTTTTCACCCCAGTTCTGACAAAGAGTTCAAACCCTGAGCATCTCATACCTTCTAATAAAACCTTTCACTGAAAAGTTGTGTGTGGAGAGTGATTTGATGGGGAACCTGACAGAGAAAAGCTTAAACCCTTCCGGACATTGTAGCCCGAGGAAATCTTGAGGGAGGAAGGGCGTTACAAATAAATGCTTTTCAAAACACCTTTTGAGATGGAAAAGGTGAGCTGAAGATGGCTCTCTACCCCATTCGGAGATTCTTCCCAAGTTCAAACCTTTGGCATCCCCTGAGATCCTTTTTAACTGGAGATACCTGGAACTTCCGAATATACCAGGCAAATGTTCTGCCACAGAGTGACAGCGCCTCCTTGTGTAAACAGGAATATGTGCAGCTGTCTTATACAGACGGACCTTCTAGCTCCGTATTGTCTCCTCTGGCTGGTGGCAGCATCTAAGGTCTCTGATACGAGGTCTTTCCCTGGAGGTCATGGTGGGATGGTTAAAAAAGAGCAGACTTGCCCTAGAAATGTCTGGCTGTCCTCGACCAGGGCGAGGGCCTTTTCGGTCCTAACCCCAACCTGGTGGAACTCTCTGCCCAAATGACACCAGGGCCCTGCAGGACTTACTGCAGTTCCGTAGAGCCTGTAAGGCAGAGATGTTCCGCCAGGCTTTCGGTTGAGGGCAGCAACGGTTGGTTGCACTGGCTGGCAGCCTTATCCTCTCCCCCCCATATATTTTGTTTTAAGTTAAGAACATAACATAAGAGACGCCAATGTTGGATCAGGCCAAAGGCCCATCCAGTCCAACACTCTGTCACACAGTGGCCAAAAATACCAGGTGCCATCAGGAGGTCCTCCAGTGGGACCAGGACATTAGAAGCCCTCCCACTGTTGGCTCCCCCAAGCACCAAGTTCCCTCTCCCCCTTGCCACTAAATGGCCGGGCAGTCCAGAATTGGAATAGAAATTTGTAAGTCGCCACCTTGGATTCTTTTACTCTGGTTTTAGTTGTTATCAACTGTATATGGACATTTTAAAATGTGTATCTTTGTTTTATGGCATTATGCCCCTTGTATATTGCCCAGAGCCCAATGTAAGCTGGGATAGGGTGATTAACAAATCAAAGTTAAAAATTAAAAAAAACACCTGCTGCCAGCGATCCTCTCACTGGAAAAACTGAGGACTGAACTCAGCACCTTGTCAATGCAAACCCGGGGGCGGGGGGGGCGGGATGGGGCTCTACCACTGAGCTACAGTCCCGCCCTTTGCATCCCTGACCCACAGAGCTGTGGTACCGGCTGAGAACCACCAAAGTTTTCAGGAGCTCACCTTATCTCCACTGGGAACTGTGCGTTTGTAACGAGGAAGCTTGAGATGTTACAATGATGTAGCAGCCTGAGGAATCGGTTAATTTCGGGGTACATGATGGGCTCCCCGACCAGAGACAGCGCGCAGTGCTTGGGGAGCATCCCTTCTTCCAGCCGGTCGCCCCTCACTCCTGGAACGCCTGCAAAGCAGAACAGAAAAAGCGTCATGTAGAATCATAGCGTTGGAAAGGACCTCCGGGGTCATCTAGTCCAACCCCCTGCACAATGCAGGAAATTCACAAATACCTCTTCTACACACACACACACCAGTGACCGCTGTTCCATTCCCAGAAGATGACAAAAAAACCCCTCCAGGATCCCTGGCCAAACTGGCCTGGAGAAAAATTGCTTCCTAAAGGTGGAATGTCATTTAAAAGTAGGTCAGAGGAGCAGAGAAAGAAAGAATGGCATTAAAGATAGATGGCCGGTCATGTTTTTATCCCCCACTACTTCCAAAAGTATACATTGTTCTCCCCTTCTCCATTTTATTTTCACAACAACCCTGCAAGGTAGGTTAGGAGGAGAGGGAGAGTTCCTAAGTCACCCAGTGAGGTTCATGGTTGAGGGGGGAATTTGAACTTCGGTCTCCCCAGTTCTAATCTGACAACGCAACCATCTCACTGCTACAACAAAGCCTGCTTTCTTCTTCGTTGCTGTGCACGCTGATATAGATTGTGAAAATAGACATATCTACAAGTCCTTCAATCAGATGGCAGCACAAATCCATTGTATTCCTAAAACAAAACCAAGACCTTCCAGGAGACAATCTAATGTTCGTCTGTAGCAAACAGAGGATGTCCAACTCCTGCCAAGAACGGGAAAAGTAAGGATAAAATGGGAACATGAGGGAGAAGGGAGGGAGGAAAACAGGTGAAGCGGCAATTTCCTTGGGCCACTCTGGCGAAAAAAGAAAGAAGAAGAAAAAGGAGGGCGGCTGGGTCATGGTTCTCTTCTCAAGGATGCCAGGTGAGAACTAGGAGGAGGCTCATCTGCTGCGGGTGCCTGCAATGACTGTCAAAACCTATGGCCACTACAGGCATTCAGAGCCTCCTGTATACATGAACCAGGCTCATAAGGGTCAACGTGTAAAACAGCTGTACCTTTAAATTGCTTGATCAAGTTCTGGTGGTTCTCAATAGCCTCCTGCAAGATCATGTCCGGCTGGTCCATCTTCCACCGCCACTCTGTGCCCACAGGATTGGTATGGTGTCTGAAAACATGTATTTTAAATGCACGTTTTATGGCATCCTCTTCTGTTAGGACATAAGAGCAGCTTTGTCATGTCCATCTTAATCCAGCACCCTGCTCCCACCTAGGTGCCTGCAGATGCCCATTAATCCTCTCATATAATACTGGAATTTGGGTCACCCAATTAAAACAAGGGTCAGAACACTCAAGGCAGGCAAAAGAAGAATTGATTTTTATACCCCATTTTTCTCTGCTTTTTAAGGAGTGTCAAGGCAGCTTACAATCGCCTTCCCCTCCTCTCCCCACAACAGGCACCTGGTGAGGTAGGTGGGGCTGAGAGAGTTCTGAGAGATCTGTGACTGGCCCAAGGTCACCCAGCAGGCTTCATGTGGAGGAGGAGTGGGGATTCAAACTAGGTTCACTACACCATGCTGGGATAATTAACTTCACTGCCACACGCTTCAGTGATGGCCAGCAGCTTGAAAAGAAGACGACACAGTCAGGGAGAGAGAGCCTGATCAAAAGCCATTAGCCATGACAATTAGAATGGAACCTCCACATTCTGGTGGCAATCTACCTCGAAATACCAGCTGCTGGTATTAACTTCTGGACATACTGGTGGACTTCCTGGGGCCACCGGCTGGGCAGTGTCAGAGGCTGAATGTGTATGGGCCCTGGGCACAATGCTGTAGATATATATATATTTCGATATATCCAGAACAGCCCACCATCTCATGACATGGAACGTGTGGATTCAGAATACAATCAGGGTTAATTTATATGAAGAAGAAGAGATTGGATTTATACCCCGCCCTTCACTACCCAAGGGAGTCTCAGAGCGGCTTACAAACTCCTTCCCCTCCCCCTCCCCACAACAGACACCCTGTGAGGTGGGTGGGGCTGAGAGAGCTCTTGACAGAAACTGCTCTTTTTCAAGAACAGCTTTAACAGAACTTGTGACTGACCCAAGGTCACACCAGCAGGTGCAAGTGGAGGAATGGGGAATCAAACCCGGTACTCCCAGATTAGAGTCCGCGCACTTAACCACTACACCGAACCGAGAGGTTGGCAAGGCGAAGGCACTTCCCCCTTACCCCACTGAGCTCTTCTACGGCCAAGTGCTTTTTGCCTTCCCAGCATCATACTGAAATCAGGCCTCATATCCAGTCAGTGAAGGAGTTACCCTCACGCTTTGTGTTCAACTGAGGGCTTGGGCCATCCAGCCCTTGGGAGATTCTCTGGTAGCCTCTCATCAATTTACCTCCAGCAGAAGACGCATTTATTGGCGCAAGCCAGGCTGGGCGTGGTCTCCATGCAGCGGTGGCTTTCGATGCCGTAAAAGGTGTGCTTGTAGCAGCCTCCTCTTCCTCGAAGCATCGACTGGTGGCAGAAGAGGAAAATAAAAATGGACGTCCAAAAAGGTCATTTTCGGCACCCCGACCCCACCCTTGGGGTGCAGCCTTGAATGACATCTCTGCTGGTTACAAAAGTGCTGTGTCCGCTGAGACCAAATTACCTGTGGGAGTTCCACAGCTGGTCCACCAGATGTTTAATTTGGTTGTAATAAGCGGCCGCAGGCCCTCCCCAATTTGGGATTGGGACCACGGTGCTGAGGAGGGGGAGGGTTAACTCTTCTCTGCTGCATCATCCCCAGTCATATGCCCCTCCCTCCCACCCACCCACCCGAGATTGCTTTAGGCCCCAGCAGGTGCAAATCTTTGGTCCTTCAAGCCTGTGTAGTGCAGTAGGAGTCTGGAGACCTGGGTTCAAGTCCCCAAATAAGCCATGCTTGCTGGGTGATGTTGGCACAGTTGTTCCATTGGCCTAACCTACCTCACAAGGTTGTTGCCACGACAAAACTGAGTGTGTGTGTGGAGGGGAAGGGAAACCTGTATGCCACTCTGCGTTCCTTGGAGGCAGAATAATAATAAGAGATTGAATTTACACCCCGCTCTTCACTACCTGAAGGAGTCTCAGAGTGGCTTACAATCTCCTTTCCCTTCCCCTCCCCACTCCAGACACCATGTGAGGTAGGCGGGTCTGAGAGAGCTCTGAGAGGACTGCTCCTGAGAGAACAGCTCTGAAAGAACTTGTGACTGACCCAAGGTCACAACAGCAGCTGCATGTAGAGGTGTGGGGAATCAAACCCGGTTCTCCCAGATTAAAGTCTGCGCTCCTAACCACTACACCAAACTAGCTCTCCAGTTAGAGAAGTTGGAGAGAAAAAAATTAAAAATTTGGCAACTGTTCCTTAGGACCAACCACAATACCTGGAGTTTCAGTCATAGAACTCTGAGGTGACGTGTCACTCAATCCGGTTGGATATAGCTGTTAAACAGCATGCCGGGACTCTATCATGTATTTATCCTGCCCCTCCTCCAAGGAGCTCAGGCTAGCTGAGAGCCACATGACAATCCATGTGCATATGAAAATAGTCTGGAAAAGAACACACACCTTGGTCCAGCGACAAAGCTTCACCCCAGAATGGCTCCCGATCAATCTGTAACCTGAATCAAGAGAGATTTTGGTTTCTTTTAGTCCGAGAGAACCTAGCTGCATAATACTCCCAGATGAGCAGTTTTAGCAATTTGGCAATCTGCCCTGATCCCCCACCCAAGCCTCTAAGCCTCGAAAGTGTTATCCATATTCTGAAGCATTTTCAGCAAGAAGTGACCCAATTGTTCCTGGAAATCCCTGGAACTCACTGCCACATGATGAGATGCTGTCCCCTACCTCAGACAGCTTTTAAAGAGGACTAGAGTTCGGAAAAGACCCTCAATGGCCATAATAGCTACAGGGAACCCCCAGATCCATGGGCCGTGTGCTTCTTAATATGAGATTGGCATAATTTGTGCAGAACATCTCTCTTTTAAACCCAAAATCTGGATTCCTTTTAAATTCAAAATCTGGATGAACTAGGGGTAAATTTTTGAATTTTTCAGTGCAGAATATGTATATGTACACACACACACTCCAGCAAACAGAACCTCCTGCTAGTTTGGAGAGTAGAAGACAGTAATGATGGAAGCCTTCATCTCAGTCTATGGCAGGCAACCGACATCCTTGACCCCTTGTTGTATTTGCCCCTTTACGCTGCAGTTATGCTGACGGTGCATCACCTTGTTTCGTGAGTGCTTCCCGAAGAGCTGGCGTGATCATCTCTCTCCGCTCGTCCTCCCCGGTGGCCTGCTGTGATCCACCTCTTTGGGAAACCTCTTCCTCAAGTTCGCGCTCTCTCTGCATTGCAAAAAAAAAAAAAAGGAACTGAACGGGACTGCTGTCTTTAGGCAAATTTACTTGGCTATGTTAAACAGATGAGATAAAAACTCCCAATCTTTCGACAGGCAGCATATTTTAAAAGAAAATAATAAAACGCCTGTGAAAACCACAGCTGGCAAGAACCTTTGCAGAAGAGGCTTTTTCTTCACCTCTCCCAGGGGAAGGAATGCTTCTTCTAAGGCAACGCTTGCTGCGACGCACCAGCACCGTCTCAAAACGAAGGAGACCCGCTTTTTCTTTGAAGCTACCATTTTTACTCAGACGCAAATGTAACCAATAGTGCATCTGCTAAAACTTGCACAATTAAGAATTTAAGTTGCTGCTGTTGTTGTTTTTAATGAAAGCAAGAGCCCTGATGGGAAGATGTAGAGATGCCCGGTGTAGCGTAATGGCTAAGAGACTCTGCACTGTGTAACCAAGGAGGCTGCAGGGTCAAATCTTGTCTCAGCTGGTAACCTTTGGCAAGCCTCCCTCTCTCTTTCAGGTTATTTAAGGTAGCAGAACGAAAGAAGAGCACAGCATACGCATGTATTAGCTGTAAAAGTAAAGTTTACTACATTACTTACGGAAAGGGAAGTGGGAGTTCAAAACAATAAACATTCTGTCTAGCTTTTCTAACTGACATCTTGTCTCTGTGGCTTTTACCTCGAGTCTGAGCCCCAAGCGAGATTTAGAACAAAGGCAGTAGAACTCTTCTAAGCCTCCACCCCGGGAACATCCTCAGATCTATTGATTAGCCAATAACAACTCATTATGCATACTGTCACCTCCATTTTGGCGGGTAATATGTGCAGGCTTTCTATTGGCCCTAAGCTAACCAACTAGGAAGTTAGCATGCACAAATAAACAGGTTGATTCTTTCATGACATCAGGAAAGGAGCTTGGTCGCATATCCCAACACTCTCTCTCACACACACACACTCTTCCCCCCACACAGCAGAAAAGGGGGGGGTAATACTGGTCTACCTCACAGTGTTGTGGTCTGGGTTACAAGATACTACGTTCAAAGTATTTTGAACACTGGAAGTGCTACTAAAGTGTTAAATAAGACTCTTACTTTTGTCCCACCCCCACCCCAAAGGGAGGCACACAAAAGCCTATGATTGCATGGTTGTAATTCTGCAAAGGAAAAACCATATGAGAGCTAGCTAAGTCCAGGGATGCAAGGCTTAACGCACACATGCACCCAGTCCTGAAGACCAGACAGGAGGTGTGGGGGGGGGGGGGCATTCTGCCTCCATATCTTGCTCCACAAAAGAACAACAGTCACCGCAATGAATAAAACCTTAATGTATTCTACCAAAAGTATACACCTATCCAATGCATACATTGCATTAAGTTCACAATTCTAGTTTCCCGGTTTTCACCGTACATTTGAGGATCTTGCAACGATGTAACTTATTTTCTAACTGAAATCCTCACAGTAATGAATTGCAACATGTATTTAATACATTAAGTGATACATTAAGATGTAATATGTTAAGGCTTGATTCATTGCGGTGACTGTTGTTCTTTTGTGGTTCAATCAACCGCGAACCTGGTTTTTGTTAATTCCATCTTGCTCCGGGCGTGAAGGTAACCAGTGACAGATACTAGCACACCTGTGAGGATTTCTTACTCATCTCATAAACAGATTCAAGCAGTCTCTACTGGGATGCCCAAAGGGGGTTTCTGGTACAGATTGGCTAGGTTGTTTGGATGTCACGGAGAGGCCGAAGGGTCTTTAGCAGCTTTCAGTTGTTTTGATCCTAGACAGGATTAATTGGCAGGAAGAAGAACATGGGACTGAGAAAAGGGACGAGTGGAGGTGTGAGCAGGTGGCAGGTCGAGGAAAGCCAATTAAAGAAGGGTCTCAAGAAGCATAAAAGGCCCTCAAAGTGAAAGAAAGGGCAAAAGGACATTTGGGAGTTGCGTGGCCAAGCAGCATGGAAGTGAACTTAGTACCTGCTTTGCGAGGCACTAACTTTCACCTTCTGAAAGCTAGAAATGGACAGTTAACCAATACAGGACAAGGTGCGGGCTGTGAATGACAGCAGCTGTTCACAGCATTTGCAGGTACAGAAGTTAGCTGGTAAAGCAGACGCTGCAGCCTAACTCCAAAAAAATTGTCTGCAAGAACAAGAAGTGGACTGAGACATGCCAGTGGTCACCTGGGCTTTCTTCATACGGCCCACCACCTTCCCCAGATCCTCCACGTCAACGACGGGGCTTGCAGCACCTCCTTCCTCGCCGCTAGACTCCTCCTCGCTTGTGGTTTCAAACGGTTCTTCCTCCTGCATCACGGGCCGAAGGAGAGAAAGGACAGGAATAATCCTCTGACTGAAGAGCTTCCAACCAAGCATTCTGGACGGCAGGCAGAGCTTTAAAATCCTTGGCCAAGCTCCCCAAAGCAGCATCTACAGGGAGCTGAGAAAGAACTGAGCCTGGGGAAACTCGATCTGAGATCTGCCTTGGCTGTAGGCAAAATAGCAGCCAGTCTCCTAAAAGCCTACCTTAAAAGGGGGTCGTGGTGAGCGCAGACTAAGAAGGCGCCTTTTACTGAGTCAGCCCACTGGTATGCTCCACCCAGTTTTATCTACTCAGGCTAGCCTGTTTTCCAGGGCTTCTGGCTGAGGAAGCTCTTTTCCCAGCACCTGAGATCCTTTACCTGGCAATGCCAAGAGTAGAACCTAGGATGCTCTCCAGGCAAAGCAGGCGCACCACCACTGAGCTATGGCCCTTTCATAAGCTTATCCTTATGCTGAGCTGGACCATTCATCCATTTAGGTCAGTGTTGTCTGCTCTGACTAGAGGTGGCTCTCTAGGATCTTAAGCCTAACCTCCATATAGGGAGGCCGCAACCTCTGAATACCAGTGCCAGGAGGTAGGGCCTCGGCTCTATGCTCTCGGGGGCAACTGTTCGGCCACTGTGAAAGAGAATACTCGACTAGATGGATCACTGGTCTAATCCAACAAGGCTCTGCTTATGTTCTTAAAGCAGGAAATGGTCTTTCCCAGCCTTCCTAACCAGAGATCGAACCCTAGGACCTCTCCTGCTGGCCTACAGTCCTTCCCGATCAGAAGGTTAAGGACTTTGGCTCAGTGGAAGCGCCTCTGCTTTGCATGCCGAAGGTCCCAGGTTCAATCCCAGGATTAGGAAGTAGCTGATGGGAAGGACCTCTCGCTGAAACCCTGGAGAGCCACTGCCAGTCAGAATTGACAGTACTGACCTTGATGGATCAGTGGTCTGATTCACTATAAGGGTTAGGGTTAGCTTAAGGAACCTCCATTGGGAACATTTGGCTACAATCTTAGAAGAATATATAGTAGACCAGAGAGAAGTGCTACTGGACATGTGATTATACCGGAGGCTTCATTTGTATTTTTGTATTTCTCTTCCTTGCCCAGTGGTTATACTTTGGAACAATTGATCTCTGGTCTTTATTGCATATTTTGGATATGTATGATTGCCTATATTTTTATATATCAGCCTATATGTTCTATGTGTATTAGACCACTGAGGAAGGCCTGTAAAGGCCTGTAAAGAACGTGTTAGGTCTACTTCATTAGCCCTTGTATGTTTTTATATATATATTTGTTTATGAGGTATGAATGGGCCCTTCTTTGTTATTTTAATTTGTGTGTAATAAATACATGTATATTTTTGTATGATTTTTAGAGTTGGCCCTCTTCTATCCTTGACTAACCTTTTTAGGTTCTGATTCACTATAAGGCAGCGTGACTGTGTGTGTTTGTGTAAACGTAGCTTGGGCGCAGACAGTGATCTGGCTAACCCTGCCCTGTCTACTCTGACTGGCTCTGCCAGGTCTAAGGAGAGAAAGGTCTTCCCAGTTCCTGCCACCTGAAACCCTTGAACTGGAGATGCTGGGGCCAGACAGACACACCTCCTTCTCCTCTCGCCTCAAGGCCCTTTGCTCCCGGTCTGATCCTTCGGGGCTCCCCTTCTTTTTGGATCCACATCTGCCTTTCTTGCATCTTCCGCTGCAGGGTTTCTTCTGCCCTTTGCCAAGGCCCTTGAGCCGGGCGAGGAACTTGGCCTTCCATGCCTCGAAGTCAGCCTCGATGCTGCCGTGTTTACTCTTGGAGACGTTGCTGTCACCCTTGGTGCAGGACAGGATGCGGCTGGCGCCCAGCATCCAAAGCCACCTGTCGATGCTTCGGCCCACCTACACACACACACCCGGAGAGAGAAAAACACGGGCAAGCTGAAGCCGAGCCATGTTTGGTACTCAGAGGAGTGTATTCAAATCATGGGCGTGTTAGCCCAGATTTCTCCAGTGCTCTGAAGTGTGAACAAATCCATTTACTCCCGAGGGACTCACAGTGTTGTAGTGATCAGCATACAAGGAGTTGCCCAGCCCAAAGACGGCGTACTGCAAACCCTTCAGATACTTCTTGCCGACCCTGAAGTCATTCGCTGCCTCCTCCAGCCATTTGCAGAACCACGCTGCGTTGTCTGTTGGCTTCCCATCCGTGTACGTGGCTGCTAGGAACACACAGACATTCTTGCTGGTTGCCTGGAAGGAAAACAGACATTAGTTTGTCGGTAGGCCAGCCCACCATGAGCTTGTACAAAAGCCGCTAGGAGCCGAGAATGCGCCAAGAATAATCTTTTCTCCCCCTTACAGCAATGCGACCGGCGCTTTACTTACTCACTCACTCACTGTTTAGGAATGCGTGTAGAACAGAGCAGCTGTTGGACAAATGGCACCAAAACTGCCAGAAGGCTTAAGGGGCAAGTTCATTACAGAGTTTGAGAAGACAGGTCCCTGCCCCAAGAGGCTTACAATCTAGCATTTGGCATAAGGGAGACTGGGGCAGAACCACCTCTGCAGGCTCCTCGTGTTACCATTGGGGATCAGCAACCTGAGCCAGGCCTCTGACCTTCGGCCGGCCAGCCTAAGCCACCTCACGGGTGGTGACTGCTGTTAGGATAAAAGAGAAGGGGGGAGAACAATTTTTTAAGCTGCCCTAGGTCCCTCATTTGGGAGAAAACCAGATATAAATACCTAAATCAGAGGTGTCAAACTCATTTGTTACAAGGGCTGGATCTGACATAAATGTCACTTTGTCGGGCCAGACCATGTGTGCCAAAAAATGTAATGCCGGAGATATTTTACCACTGGCTTTGACCATACCCCTCCTCAGCAGAGCTCGGGGCCAAACCATCCCTCCTTGCCCCTTATGGTTGCCAACTCTGAGATGGGCAGTCCCTGGAGATCTGGAGGAAGACCTTGGGGAGGGCCGGCATTTGGGGAAGGGAGAGACCTCAGCACGGGGTATAAAGCCCTAATAAAAGCCCTTCTGGTCCTAATTTGGACTAGTTTCTTCCCAGTTGCTCACGGGCCAGATAAGAGCCCTGGATGGCCTGGTTCTGGCCGCCGGGCCGTATGTTTGACATGTCTGACCTAAATCAATACACTGAAAAAACCCACAAACCTCTTCAGCTAGAGAATCGTCAGGATCGTAGTCTCTCATGTCAATGACTTCTCCTGGCAAATTGAGAGTGGCCACAGCTTCAGCGAGAATGGACGCAAACCCCTGGAACAGAAAACAAAAACCTAAGCAAAAAGCAAGAGATTGTTTACTTGTGGAAGGCTGGCTGGAGACCCCACAAGCTGGGCTGGGCCTCGTCATTTTTGCCTTCGGTTGTGCCACACAAGCCCAACAGGCCAACCCAGGATCCATTCTCATAGCATCAGAACTTGGAATCAGCCCTGAAACTTATTGGCAAGCAGAGCAGTTCAGAGTAGAAAGAAAATGAAGGGCTGTCATGTAGAAGATGGAGCAGATCTATTCTCTCTTGCTCCGGATTGCAAGACTAGATCTAATGGATGGAAATTACAAGGGAGTCGTTACCGGCTAAATATCAGGAGAAACTTCCTAACTGTAAGACTGGTTGAGCAGTGGAACAAACTGCCTAGGGAGGTGGTGGATGCTCCTTCGCTGGACGTTTTCAAGTGGAGGCTGGACAACCATCTTTCGGGTATGTTGTAGGGCTGTCTTTCGGCTATGCGCCCGCAGAGTGCAGGGAGTTGGACTACATGACCTGCAAGGTCCCTTCCAACTCTAACATGCTATGATTCTATGAAACAAGCCCTCCGGCAAACAATGTGGAATTAACATACGAAACTCCTGGCCCCAAGACAGATGATGACTAAATGCATAGAGTTCTTTGAAAAATAAGAGTATAGCTAAGTTCAAGCAATTAAGATTGCTGGGGAAAAGATCAACAACCTCAGATATGCAGACGATACCACTCTAATGGCAGAAAGTGAAGAGGACCTAAAGAGCCTCTTAGGGTAAAAGAGGAGAGCGCAAAAGTGGGCTTGAAGCTCAACTTCAAAAAAACTATGATCATGGCATCCGGCACCATCACTCCTTGGCAAATAGAAGGGGAAGTCGTGGAAGTAGTGACAGACTTCACGTTCCTGGGATCCCAGATCACCGCAGACTGTGACAGCAGCCATGAAATTAAAAGACGCCTGCTACTTGGGAGGAAAGCGATGGCGAACCTAAACAGCATGATAAAAAGTAGAGACATCACCCTGCCAACAAAAGTCCGCATGGTCAAAGCAATGGTATTCCCAGTAGTCGTGTATGGCTGCGAGAGTTGGACTATAATGAAGGCCGAGCGCCGAAGAATAGATTCTTTTGAACTATGGTGCTAGAGAAGACTCTTGAGAGTCCCTTGGACTGCAAGAAGATCAAATCAGTCAATCCTAAAAGTAATCAACACTGACTGTTCCCTGGAAGGCCAGATAATGAAACTGAAGCTCAAATACTTTGGCCACCAAATGAGAAGGGAGCACTCCCTGGAGAAGACCCTGAGGCTGGGAAAGATTGAAGGTCAAAGAAGACAGGGACGGCAAAGGTTGAGATGGTTAGACAGTGTCATAGATGCAACGAACAGGAAATTGAGCCAACTTCAGAGGACGGCGGAAGACAGGAAGGCCTGGCATGATCTGGTCCATGGGGTCGCAAAGAGTCGGACTCGTCTGTGCGACTGAACAACAAAAACAGTTCAAGGAGGAGGACAGCTCCATAACTGGCTCCCACTAAAATAAAGGATTTTGGAGTGGTTATTGTCCGTGGTAGTGAAACAGAACCACCACGTTCTAAGGCAGTTGCTGGTAGACAAAGTTCAGGTAAGAATGACTGCCTTCATGCCCTCTTTGTAGGCTTCTTCAAAGCATCATTGGGAAACCAGAACACTGGATTAAGAGGCATCAAGGAGAATACCCAATGTTCTTACCCTTCTCTGAGGATCTGGGCTTGCAACTCAAGAAGGCATCATAGCTCAGTGACAGAGCACCTGCTTTGCCTGCAGGAAGTGCCAGAGAAAACGGCAGGTAACTCCAGTTCAAAACCAGCGGTTTCCATTCCAAAGCAATTGGGTCAGCCCTGCCCACGTTTACTTGCATTAAGTCTTCACGGAATTTTGTATACTACTACAAAAGACCGTAAAACACGGCGGGTTCTAGTCACTGCACTTGAAAAAGGATCCTGTAGAGTTTGAAAAGGTGCAGAAAAGAGCAACCAAAAGGATCAGGGGGTTACAGCAACTGTCCTGTGAGGATCAGTTAAAACACTTAGGGCTGTTCAGCCTAGAAAAACAGGCAAGTAAGGGGGGACATGATAGAAGTGTATAAAATTATGCATAGCATGGAGAGTACACAGGGGAACACTTTTCCTCCTCTCCCATAATACTGGAACCTGGGGTCATCCACTGAAGCTGAAGGGTGGGAGATTCAGGATAGACAAAAAGGAAGTATTTCTTCGCACAGCATATAGGTAATTTGTGGGATTCGCTCCCGCAGGATGTGGTCATGGCCACCAACTTAGGAGGGCTTTAAAAGGGGAATGGACAAATCCACGGAGGACTGGGTTACCAATGGCTACTAATCACGATGGATATTTGCTTCCTCCAGTAGCAGAGGCAGTATGCCTCTTTAAATTGGTTGCTGGGAAGCACAGGCAGAATGATGCTGTTGCAATCTTTCTGTACATGGGCTTTTTAGAGGTAGCTGGTTGGCCGCTGTGTGAACAGAATGCTGGACTAGATGGGCCTTTGGTCTGATCCAGCATAGCTCTTGTGTTCTTATGATGAGTCTAGAACCTGGGACTCTGGCAGCAGAAACAAGGCAGCTTACTCTTTGTGCTACACAGTACAGCTCTGCTGGAGAAGGGAGCTGTCAGCCCCATCTAGTCATCCATGGCAGTGGCACTAGAAAGGTCAGTGCTGCAGCTATCAGCTTGATTCTGGTTTGAAGCCTCAGTCTGAGCAATATATTGCTCAGATGCAGACTAAGCTGTTTGCAGGCAGTGTTCTTACTTGACTTGATACCCGACTCCTAGTCCTGTTAGAGACATAGGTGAATCCCTTCCTCTGCACATCAGGATCGTAATCTTGGGGTGTTCCTGGAACTCCAAGCTGCTGATGCACAGCGTTTACTTTGGGCGGGCACCACCTGGACCCAGGATCAAAGTCCCTTTTCACATCCGGCATTTCACTAAAAACACAGGCACTGCAAAAAGTGCCTCTGAGCTTGTACAAAGTGCTTTTCCCCTTAAGAGGAATATCCACCCCACACATATCTGGATGTATCCACAGGAGAGATGCAGATGCCAGAAAAGTGTTTCCCCCCCTCTCTCATTAGTTTAACCCAACACTCACCTTTGCTGTTCCAGTCTGAGAGCCGTAAAAAATTTTCACCCCAGTTATGTGGCGGTCCCCAGTTTGGTCTTTTGCAAGACCATCTTCAGTGACTTTGGAAAACATCTGGAGGTGCTTTGCATTCTACAAAGTAAACAGAAGTGAGAAAGAGAGCAAAGTCCTCATGCCAAATCTCACTCTGGTCAACTGATAACATGATATGTTTATTCAGCAGCCAAGCCTGCTAGGAGCTGCCCAGGCTAACCCGATCTCTTCCGATCTCAGAAGCTAAGCTGGGTCGACTCTGGCTAGTATTTGGATGGGAGACCTCCAAGAAACACCAGGGTTGTGGTGCACAGGCAGGCAATGGCAAGCCACCTCTGAATGCCCCTTGCCTTGAAACCCCATAGGCCTGCCATAAGTCAGCTGTGAACTTGATGGCACTGTCCACCACCACCATGCCAGGAGCTATACAAGGTGCAGCTTTTGCGATGGTGTCTTGCTGTTTCTCACCTCACTGCACTGCATGCAGCCGGTCCCTGGTATGCCTGCTTATAAACCCCACTTCACATGTCTTTATTTACTTACAAGCATACAGACCTCTTTTCCAGAGTTCAAAGCAGATCGACAAAGTGTGTAAAAAGATACCCACACGACAGAGACGGCAAAAGACAATTAAACACCAGAACAAATTTAAACAGACAACAGATTCATTTACCAAATGCCCAGCAGCAGAAGAAAGCAAGGGAGCCCCTCCTCCCTTGTTTCGGGATTCCATAAAACTGAAGGCATTATTGAAAACAATACACATTCTCACTGCCAAAGCGCTCACCTGGTGGGTAAATGAGACCCAACCAAAGACCTTGCTGACCTATAAAGATGGTGAGCAGGTACACATGGAGAAAGTCAGTCCTTTTGATCACATATACATATGCACAGACATCACAACTGTGCAGGACCATGATAGTTTACTATTCAATTTTTTGAGGTTGCCTTCAACAACCCTGGAAAAATAACCAGTCAATGTGTTTTCAAAGATTAGTTACCATTAGAAGAAAGGGAAAGTACAGTAGTTCAACAGCTTCTTTTTGGTAGGGGATTTCAGAGTCACAGGGCTGCAAAGGGAGAGCCTAACAGAGCCAAACAGCTGCCAATAAAAATCAAGATTTTAAAATGGAGCCACATCCTCATGGCAGACTCAAGGATGCGGAAATGTCTAGCCTGACCCTTAAATACAGCATAGCATGAAAGGATAGGGTAGAAATTTCCCAATATGTAAAATGAAGTGGCTTAATGGGCACAGTGAGTTAGCTCTAGAGAACTGGACCCCCAAGCAGCTTGTTTGTTCCACTGAAAAATTAAATACAGTTTGGTGTTACCACGACTTCTCTCACTGGGAAAATCCTGACACGCATAATGAGGGCCAAAGTACCTGCTTTTTGGCTTTTGTGATGAACTGGATGCAGAGCCAAAGGCTGAATCCAAAAGCAGCACAGGAGTAAATGTAAAATCTGTTCAGCCACAAGGATGTCAGCTGAGCACCAAGGCCATTCCAGGTTTCCATGGGCACATCTGAAAGAAAGAGTAAAGCTACCCTTTTGAATTCTCAGAGCAATGGCTTTTTGAGCACAAAAGGACTTAAATGTCCTAGTTAATGCTGTTATCATCAAACTTCCAATTTAGTGGGCTTCCTCTCTCCTCCCCCTTCCACTAAGGCCAACTCTTCTTAGAAAAAAACCCGAAAGGCTGTGAAAGGGGTCTTAATTCAAATGGATCTAGTTTGAACTATGGACTTTCCTGATACCGTAGCCAGTGTGTTAATTATGACTGCCTCCCCCCCCCCCGTGGGGGGGGGGGGGGGGGAGCACAGCTACACTCCTGACACTGAGTGCACTGGGGCTTATGTATGCATCAATAAACCCCACTGAATTCAGTGGACTTTCCATCTGAGTAAGCATACAGAAAATCCGTCAGAAATCCAATGCAAAACTTACACTGTACTTAACAAAATGCAACGAAATGCTACCAAATAAATAAGTGCGAAATTGGGGCATGCAACCTTCACTGACATAGATCAAGATGGGTAGCTGTGGTAGTCTGTCTATAGCAGTAGAAAACAGAAAGAGTCCAGTAGCACCTTCAATACTAACAACATTTGTGGCAGGGGATGAGCTTTCGTGAGCCATTGCTTACTTCTTCAGAAATCTCATTCCCTGCCACAAATTTTGTTAAGTCTTTAAGGTGCTACTGGACTTTCTCTATTTTCTAAACCTTCACTGAGAAGCATTTCCAAGGAAACATCTGAGCATAGGACCCTTGAGAGAATGAGTCATCTGCACACTTACTCAGGAGTAAGCCAACCTCAATGACTTACTCTAAGCAAACCTGCCCAGAATCAAAGTAGCCCCCTCCCTCACCACCTTTTTACCCATGTCTCCGGATGCACAGCTGCCTAAAGCACCACAATCCGTTCTCCGCTGCCAGGCAGAACAAGCTACTCCTGAGTCGCCCTCCCAGTACGTCCAAACCAGCTTATGATGAGGGTGGCCATCTTGCCTCGCGGGGTATGTCGAGTAAGCTTAGTCCCTTCAGATAACCCACTGTTAGGGAGCGTCGAGAGAGTTCACATCCAGACGATTTTTTAAAAAACGGATTTGGGAAGTAAACGGCTTGCTTTCTGCAGGGTTTACGTCCAGGTAAATCTCCCGTCTCTCTCCAAACTAAGAGTGAAACGTTCATTTCCGGAACTTGAAAAATAATAGCGTCATTTTCCACACGGACCGGCTTCAGGGAGAACACACCGAGCTGTGTTCGCGTCTCTCGCGAGATCTGTGCGAACCCGTCATAATTGGGGAAACATAGGGAAGGGATTGAGCCTGGTTTGCCTATTGGTTGTTCAGTCTGAAGTAGGCGAGACCAACGGTTCGGCGGCGGTAGAGACTGCGGTTCATACGCAGGCGTACTACAGGCATCACTTTCCGCTACCATCATGTCGATTTTCACGCCTACCAACCAAATCCGCCTCACAAATGTGGCCGTGGTGCGGATTCGACGGGCGGGGAAGCGTTTTGAGATCGCCTGTTACCGGAATAAGGTCATGGGCTGGCGGACCGGCGCGTGAGTACCAGAAGTGTTGGCCTTGGACCGGAAGGGGGTGGTGAAAGACCGACTGAACAGGGCCCTGCTGATGTTGTCAGTCGAGTGTTCCCTGAGAATGTGCAGAGGGCGGGTCCAAAGCTTGCCACAGGAGGGCATAAAAATCGAAATGGTTCAGAGCGTATGAGAGAGTACGGCTGTGCAGAATTTTTGCCACGGCTGAAAATGCCCTGCTTGTAATATCTGTGTTCATATGGTCATTCCGTGAGGCACATGCCCTATGCTGCTTTGCCCTCCTGTATTAATTTGGTGCCCAGTAGCTTTTCAATGACTAGTTGTAGCATCTTGGTGGACTCAAGCCCATTTCTTTAGATGTTTCATAAGCATTCAGGGGTGGGGTGCCATTGCCTGCCTCTGCATGGCAACGCCGGACTTCCTTCATGGTCTTCCATACAAAAGTCAGGCTGACTCTGCGTGGCTTCCAAGATATGGGTAGGCGTTATGGTGTTTATGTTTAGGATGTAAATTTTATTTCAATAAAGCAGCTGTTAAACCGTTAAAAATCATTTAATGTTTGAACATTAAGAAGCTCATCTTTCTATATATTACAAGCTCTGCTGTTGGTTTTTGTTTAAAAAAGTTAACATGTTAGTGTGCATTGGTGTCAGGCTTGTGCATAAACAACGGTATAACTAGCACTGGAAAACATTATTTTTGCACAGGTATACAGTCCTGAAATGCATTGTTAATCCCCAACTCACCCCTGTTTCCTAAGCCTTAAACATTTACAGCAACATAGAAATGGTAAATTTATATTCCTGCAATTTACATACAGCTTGAAATAGACAAAACATGACAATTTCCACCAGTTTTTTCTTCTTCTTCTGTTCAATATATGTATTACTAAAGAGGAGTTCTTAATAAATGCCTGATTATCTTTTTTGGTAGTGAAAAGGACCTGGGTGAAGTCCTGCAGACCCAAACTGTGTTTGTGAATGTCTCCAAAGGCCAGGTGGCAAAGAAGGAGGACCTTGTCAAAGCATTTGGTACAGATGATCAGACAGAAATATGCAAGACTGTAAGTTTCATGGGTAGGATTCGTTGTATCTCTGGTATATTATCCCCTGATGGTTAATGCCACACTCATGTGTGCCACCTGGAGGCTAATGTAAAGATCTGTTTTTTAAGAGGTTAGCTGTAGATACTTTAGAGCACTTGTGCATACAGGGGGAGACCAAAGCATAAAGTAAAGCACTTTCCCAGACTTTCTAAGGAGGTAGGATGACTGCAGGAGGATGGGAGTGGGATTGCACCAGTAAGCTCCCAGCCTACACAACTGTGCATTGGGACATATGTTGGAGGTTATGCACAGACATCTGTCTCCACTCAATCAGCTGTCTTGCTTTTCACAGAGAGAGAGTGCACACTCATGAAATTTGGGTACCTGACAACAGTTTATAGTCTTTACCATAAACTTGCAAAATAAGCATATGCAGTGTTGGAATGTTCAGTTGTCCTTTGTTATTAACTGTTCTGTAATTTGACAGACACAATTTGTTTGGTTTTACACCACTGAGTTATATCTCTCCACACTGTTCAGCTACGGGCATGCTCTGCCACTGACAGAAGCTCTTCTGAGACATGGCAGCAGCTTCTCTTACATTGCTGGAAATACGTCTTGTGCCAACAAAATGCATCACCTTTAGGCATGTGCTACACGAGGAAATGAGTGCAGGCATCTAGTGGAAATTCTGGGAGGCTGTATCTGCTTCCTGCTGAAGGCTTTCAGCACATGGCGATGTCTCTCTTTTGGTTTGCCTTGTTTTCAGATCTTATCGAAAGGGGAGTTGCAGGTATCCGATAAAGAGCGGCACACACAACTGGAGCAGATGTTTCGTGACATTGCAACAATCGTTGCTGACAAGTGTGTGAACCCAGAAACAAAAAGGCCCTACACAGTCATCCTGATTGAAAGAGCCATGAAGGACATCCACTACTCAATCAAGCCAGGAAAAAGCACTAAGCAGCAGGTGAATATACCCCATGGGAGACAGCATAATTGTTGTAGTAATTGGGGTGCTGAGAATGGGGCAACTGGGATTTGTATGCTTGCTGAGTCACAAATCTTACTTGGTGACTGGGTCAGTCACGGTCTCTCAAAGATTTTAAAGCATCTACTTTGCAAGCAGAGGGCTCATTCTCTAGTCAGACAATCTCCAGTAGGTGGTGGTGGTAGAAAATGTTTTTCTGCCTGAGACTGGAGATGGTAGAAAATATTTTTCTGCCTGAGACTGGAGATTGGCACAGCCAGAGCAGACAGTACAAAGCCGGATGAACCAATGGATTGACTCTGTTCAAGGCAGTTTCCTGTGTTCTTATATAATACATATAAAAAGTATGAAAGAATACCAGTTTGTACCTAGAGGTATGCCATGGCTGGGTACTCAGTAGTATTTGGTCTTTTGCAATATTCTTTTTGTTATGTTGCCAAAGCTTTCACGGCCGGAGTTCATTAGTTGTTGTAGATTTTCTGGGCTGTATGGCATTGGTCTTGGCATTGTAGTACCTGAGGTTTCACCAGCCGCTGTGACTGGCATCCTCAGAGGTATAACACAGAAAGATGGAGTACTCCCTGTGTCAATGTGAGAAGAAAAATGGTAGGCAGATAATTTATATCTACTCAGAAAGGTGGGGTATGGCTGAATCATCTTGTTGGCATTTCCCAGGCTGTGACATGCTAATGGAGGAGCTTTCCTGAGGAGGTTCTTTTGCATATGGATTGGCTGTTGAAATTCTAATCTTATCTGTAGTGCTGTTCGAAGATGTAGAGCATTTTGTGTTTTTCAGCACTGGAAGCCATGCCCTATTTATTTTTAAACTCTCTTCTTTTGTGTTGAAATTGTGTTTATGTTTATGAATTTCAGTGGCTTCCCTGTGTAATCTGACATGGTAATTGGATGAGTTGTCCAGCATTTCAGTGTCTTGGGATAAGAAACTGTGTCCTGTTTGAGTTAGGCTATGTTCACCCACTGCTGATTTTTCAGGTTGGCCAAGTCTGTGGTGTCTTTCATGTTCTTTTATTCTTGTCTGGATGCTACGCTGTGTGGTCCCGATGTAAACCTGTCCACAACTGCAGGGTATGCGGTATACTCCTGAAGAAGTGAGGGGGTCTCTTCTGTCTGTTGCCTATCGTAGCATCTGTTGTATTTTTCTGGTGGGTCTGAATACTGTTTGTAGGTTGTGTTTTTTCATAAATTTTCCCATCTGATCAGGGATTCCTTTGATATATGGCAAAAACACTTTTCCTGTGGGAGACTGTTTTTCCTCAGTTGTTTGTTTTACCTTTGGTTTAATCACTCTTCTGATTTCATTCTTGGAGTAGCCATTTGCTTGAAGTGCATGGTTTAGATGATTTAGTTCAGGGGTGTCAAATTCATTTGTTATGAGGGCTGGATCTGACATAAATGAGACCTTGTTGGGCCGGGCCATGTGTGTCGTAAAATGTAATGCCAGGTAGCAAAGATATAAACTTTAAAACCGCCCTGAGCCTGCCTTGGTAGGAGGGTGGGGTATAAATTGAATAAAATAAATAAATAAATTATAAAGGACACAAACACAATGAAAGATTTTTTAAACTTTAAATAAAACATGCTTAAAACACTAGCACTCTTGCAATATTTTGTCTATTTAACAGTCTCTGATGACTGACACCTCTTGCTCTGAGTTACTGCAGCAGCAGAACTGGAAAAGGAAGCAGGAAACAGCCATGGCCTTGCAGGCCGGATTGCAGCCCTCCGAGGGCCTGATCCTGCCCCCGGCCGGATGTTTGACACCCCTGATTTAGTTCATCATTGAGAAAGTGCAGTTCACATATCCGTCTTGCACGGTCTACTCATGTTTTGATTATGCCTCTTTTTTGCCGAGGGTGGTGATTGGAGTTTTTATGAAAATAACGATCTATGTCACAAGGTCTACAGAAAACCAACTTAAAATCACACATATTGTGTCCTATAGAGCATTCTTTGTATAACCCTTCTAGACTCAAGCATTTGACAGAACTCTTTGATAACTGCTTGGGTCGTACTCAGGAGGAGGAAATGTGTCTTCTGCTCTTATGTGGAAGCACACTTTATTGTCACTATGGGGCCTGGTCAGTAGTTCTACAACCACTGGATACCTGCGCCTTATAAATGTTTTGTAATTTTAACCTTTTTTACTTTGTTTTTAATTTTTAATGTGAGCTGGCCTTGGCAGGGACGGCGAGCTATAAATCTGATAAATAAATAATACCATTTTTACTTAAAAAATATCTTTAATAAGTATTACTTTAAAGAGTATTACTTAGTGATCCCTAACAGAGCCCTTTCCAACAGAGTGGAATTCTGTAGAGAAGAGGGATGTAGACCCAAGAGCCAGAGTGATGCCGTGGCCAGACTTGGGCCTTGGACCAGTCACATGGCCTGATCTTAGGGTTGCCAAGTTGTATTTGCTGCTGCAGTGGGGGACTCCTGTCTCACTCCCAGTGTGTGCGCGTGCCGCAACCACGCTGGGCATGCTGGGGGCGGGGCCACGACCATCCGAGGAAAAACCATAGAGCTTTCCCTCGGATGACCGTGGCCCCACCCCCAGCGTGCCCGGCGTGGTCGTGTCACTTCTGGGTGACATGCACGTCCCGTGCTTTGGGGGTGGGGTTCCCCCCAGGGCCCAATCCGCCAGTGGCAGGAAACGGGCCTCTGGGGCAGGGGTTTCCCCTCCCTCTGGGGGGACTTGGCAAACCTACCTGATCTACGTCACATGTTGTGGGGATAAAATGGAAAAGTGGTAATGTTTTAAGCCACTTTGGGTCCCCATTGGGGATAAAAGTTGTGCGTAAATAAAATAGCCTGCACCATGGCTATTTGAGGCCAGCAGCTCTATTAAAGAAAAGATGGTTAACTGGCTCTGGATCCCATCTTGATCTCTGGGCACTCCTTCCCACACCATGTTGGAAGTATCGCCCTCATCTTTCTCCATCTCTGACCTGGCACGAAGGCTTCTGGGCAGGCGCACTGAAAATGATGGAGAATTGTCCTGTTACTTACTATTCGTGGGAACAGAAACAAAGCTACACTGTATTTATTTATTTTATTTATACCCCGCCCTCCCCGCAAGCGGGCTCAGGGCAGCTTACATAATTGTAGTTTTAAAGAGTAGCCTCAGATGTATTTCAGCTTGGTGAGAGAGTCTTAATTTTGACGGGATGCCTCTGCAGGCCTTGGAGGTGATCAAGCAGCTGAAGGAGACCATGCAGATCGAGCGGGCTCACATGAGGCTGCGCTTTCTCCTCCCTTCGAAGGAAGGCAAGAGACTGAAAGAGAAGCTGAAGCCACTCATCAAAGTCATTGAGAGTGAAGATTTTGACGAACAGCTTGAAATTGTAAGACACCCCCCCCCCCCCGAAAAGCTTTTTCCGTTGTTGGGGGAAAACGTGGGAGGAGGTTTGTGGCCGGAGTGTTGGAGGCCTGAGTTGAGCAGTTTTGTTTACAGCACAATTGTCTGCAAGGTGGCTCAGGATTAAGTGGGGAGCAAAAACTCCTGGTGATCCCTGGCCCGAAAAAACTCCAGCTGTCCTCGACCAGGGCAGTTGCTGAACCAGTGTGGTTACACGGTGCTGGACTACGTGGACCCTTGGTCAAATCCTGCAGGACACTTATTTATTTAGGATGGGGAGATTAAGTTATAGTACGCAAAAAAGCCCAGGGAAGGGAAGGCAGCATAATATAGCCCAGTCTTCTCAGGTCTTGGAAGCTAAGGTGGGTAGAGCCTGTTTGATGTATTGGTTAGGAGCGCAGACTCTAATCTGGGAGAACCGGGTTTCATTCCCCACTCCTCCACATGCAACTGCTGGATGACCTTGGGCAAGCCATAGTTCTGTCAGAGCTGTTCTTGAAAGAGCACTTCTTGATAGAGCTCTCTCGGCCCCACCTACCTCACAGGGTGTCTGTTGTGGGGAGGGGAAGGGAAAGGAGATTGTAAGCTGTTCTGAGACTCTTTCAGGTAGTGAAGGGCAGGATATAAATCCAATCTCTTCTTCTTGATACTTGGAATGGATGAACACTGAAGAAGCCACCTCTGCTTCTCACGTGCCTTGGAAGCCCTTGCTGGAGTCTCCATAAGACAGTTGTGACTTGATGGCACATCCTTACCTTAAAAAAGCCCAGCGCCTATATGCTCAGAGATCGTATACTTCTGAAAAGCAGTTGCTGGGGAGCAATAAATTGGGTTGTTGCCTTCTTCCCTGTTTGGGCTTCCTAGAAGCATCTGGTTAGCCACTGAGGAAATAGGACACTAGACTTTTGTCGGATGCCGCAGAGACATGTTTCCTCCAAAGTATTGCTGTGGAATCCTTTGTAAAGAAGTAGAGATTTGGGGAAGGATCTGCACAGAGTTTAGCACAGGCAGCGTGTGCAGACTCAGCTTGTTGCTTGATATAACTGTTGTCTTATTTCCTTCTGGGAGAGCTGTGATTCTTTGCAGTCTGATGGCAATGTAACCATTTCAGGTGTGCCTCGTGGACCCAGGCTGCTTCCGGGAGATCGACGAACTGATCCGGTGTGAAACCAGAGGGAAAGGGAGCCTGGAAGTGCTCAGTCTGAAGGATGTGGAAGAAGGGGATGAAAGACTGGAGTAGCATCCGGCTGCTCCCAGTGAGCACTGTATTAAAGGCTACCCCGATCCTCCTCGTTGTGGGTTTAACTTTTTGCAGTTTTCCAATCCCAGTTAAAGTTTGATTTGGGCTTCTCCCCCCCCCCACCCCCACCCCATAGCCTCTGATTTATCAGGGTGGGGGTGTGTGGTGCCAGTTTGAACACAGCTATCCCTTGCTTAACGCTAAAGAGGAAAAGAACTAGACAGCTGGTTTAATTATGCCGGGGCTGCGGATCTTTCTTCAAGGACTAAGCTACAGTGAGTGAAGTGTGCCCTGAGTGCCAAATTGCCCTTCCTCTCAGCTGAGAGGGGCAGCAACTCCTTGTGGTGGGACCACCTCTAAGAGAAAAAGCTGAGGGCAGCCCTTTAAAATAAGCAACAAGATTTAAATGGGAGCACAGACTTTCCGGGAGGTGACTTTGCAGAAGCCCTGCCTTGTGTTCCCGAAGATGACAGCCCCTGTGCAAGCCACCTTCTGCGCAAGGCTGTTCCGTGAAGGGAAATACTTTGTTCTTACGAGCGTAGCCCTTCTCAGAGAAGAGCACGGAGAATGTCTTGCACACTACGGAACCTCTGGATTGGGGGTTTAGGGAGAGCTGTTTGCTCATCTTTCTGTAGATAGCTTTGGAAAGTTCAGGAGCTTGGTCTTCAGAGACCGGCACAGGACTAGAGCTCGATAAACAGAATACCCTTCTTCATTCCAGAGGAGCCATAACAAAGCACTGATAGGACTCAAACACTGATGACTGAGAGTTGTCCAGATAATTTATTTTTCTTGTGGCAAGCGGGATATTTACAGTAATATAAAAGTCAGTATATATTAGCTACGTGGCCTTTTGATCTAACTAAGGACTCCGTCAATGCTCTAATAAACTCCCAGGCTGCTTTGGGTTGTTTTCTTGGTTTTAACAATTTATGATTTGAGGGACAAACCAAATAAATAAAGACACTGAGTGGAAGGCACTATAACATGATAATAAAGTCACTGAGTGGAAAAACTCTGGGAGTGTTGATTCCCTCTGGATTAAAAAAAGTTCTGTTACATCAAGATGCAAAAACATTTCTTGACTGAACATTTAACTTGCTCATTCCCTTGAACAAGAACTTCTGACTAAGATGCCTCTTACCTACTATTGGAAGCTACTATAGAGAACTATACAGTGCTAACCAATAATATATTTTCTCCCCTAGGGGTGTTCTGGTACAGTGTGATGATGAATGGGCTGGACACCTCCCCCCCCCCCTTTAAACTGCAGGTGCTGGATTCCAGGTTTCCATATTTTTTGCATTAAAAGAAACTTGGCAAATAGGAAACTAACCTAGCAGGAAGAAAGGTTGTCTCTCCTCTCTTGCTTTCTAGTTGCAGGGTGTTCTTAATAGAGGGGAGCCTTCCAAAATGTGAATCCTCTACCTGCAGTCTGAAGTGATGCAGTTTGGTGTCGTGGTTAAGAGTGGCGGACTCTAATCTGGAGAACCGGGTTTGATTCCCCACTCCTCCACATGGAGCCAGCTGGGTGACTTCGGGTCAGTCACAGTTCTCTCAGAGCTCTCTCAGCCCCACCTACCTCACAGGGTGTCTGTTGTGGGGAGAGGAAGGGAAGGAGAGTGTAAACCGCTCTGAGTGAAGGACGGGGTATAAATCCAACTCTTCCTCTTCTCTACCACTTTTTTTCTGGGTGTGTGCAAACCTGGCCTTGGAATGAGCTCACACACATTTAGGACAGGAAGGAGTTACTAGTGGAGTCTCTTCCCAGTCGGGTTAATTGTGTAAAGGGAGAGTGTAAAGTTTGCTGACTTGAAAGGGAACTCATTTTCCTGGAAATCATTCCAGTAGGGCAGCTGGGCTCGGGTGACCTAGCAGCAGAGGGCAAGCAGCTCCCCGGCTCTACCCCATCGCAAAACCAGGAGACGATGCATTTGGCCTCGTGCCTTTACCTTCCCAAGGGCTGGATGTGGCCCCTGGCCTGAAATTTGCTCACCTCCACACTACCACCAATTGACCTGTGGAACGAGGGGACTATTGAGAAACCAGGGGACACAGAGACAGATCTCATTTTGGTCTTGTTGGCTTGGCCAGGCCTACTTCAGGCTCCCTGCACCCCTTCTATTGTTTGCAGATACAAAACGACTGGTTGAGAGATCAGGGACCATGGTCCTTTGGATTTTTTAAAAAATGAAATAAACAGCATGAATTTCTTGCATTTAAGTAGTGGCATCCAACCCAACCTTGTGGATCTTCCTTTCTGCAGCTACTTACCCTTTGTGGCAATGTACATTCCCAAGGGCCCTATGTGGCCCCGGGATACAAATTTGCTCACCTTCACACTACCACCAATTGACCTGTGGAACGAGGGGACTATTGAGAAACCAGGGGACACAGAGACAGATCTCATTTGGTCTTGTTGGCTTGGCCAGGCCTACTTCAGGCTCCCTCCACCCCTTTTATTGTTTGCAGATACAAAACGACTGGTTGACAGATCAGGGACCATGGTCCTTTGGATTTTTTAAAAAATGAAATAAACAGCATGAATTTCTTGCATTTAAGTAGTGGCATCCAACCCAACCTTGTGGATCTTCCTTTCTGCAGCTACTTACCCTTTGTGGCAATGTACAAGCCTTAAGTCCCTGTTGTAGGATGGGATACAAATTTGCTCACCTTCACACTACCACCAATTGACCTGTGGAACGAGGGGACTATTGAGAAACCAGGGGACACAGAGACAGATCTCATTTGGTCTTGTTGGCTTGGCCAGGCCTACTTCAGGCTCCCTCCACCCCTTTTATTGTTTGCAGATACAAAACGACTGGTTGACAGATCAGGGACCATGGTCCTTTGGATTTTTAAAAAATGAAATAAACAGCATGAATTTCTTGTATTTAAGTAGCGGCATCCAACCCAACCTTGTGGATCTTCCTTTCTGCAGCTACTTTACCCTTTGTGGCAATGTACAAGCCTTAAGTCCCTGTTGTAGGATGGGATACAAATCCAGTAAAGGAGGCTGTTGTTAACTGGGGGCATGATGGGTTCAGTGCAAGTGTTGGCTCTGTTGGGTATAGAACCTGAGCCAGGGGTTCCTTTGGGCATTTTAAATATACCTTTAAAACTCAAGTCAAATATATAAACTTTTATTTTAAAACACTTTGTAATAAACTGCAGAATTATTTACAAACATGAATCTTAGTGAACATAACCTCTGTTTGTTAAAACAAAAACAAAACCCAACCACATACATGTTGAAACCTACAGGACCCAACGGTGCTCCGTTACAAGAAGGTGGGTTAGCTGACTTGCTCCATTGGGACTTAGTCAATGCTGCACTTGGCCGGATTGGGACCACAATGTATTGAGCTATTTGCATCTCTTGAGACATCTTCAAATGAGCAAGAATGTTCTTATTGGAATACACACAGGCACAAAGTTTTGTGACTTGCACACACACACACCGGTAGATATATCACATAACAGCACTGTTCAAACTGCAAAGTGGGTCAGATCAGAGGAGCTGTTCCAGGGCCATTACACCTGCTCTTTTTTAGCATTCAGAGAAGCCTCTTATGGGAATGACAGCAGCTTGAACAAAAGAAGCCTCTCTGTTTTGTCACATAAATGGTGGTTTGTGCCAACTACAGCCTCTTAAGGAGCCACTGGGTCTTCAAATGTAGATAACATATGTTTTATGCTGCTGCTGTAGGAAAAAAAAAAAGAATCACAAGCAGATGGAGAAGGAAGTTATTTCTACTTTGAAAGGTAGACAGAACACCTGGTTTGGGAACCAAGACAAATACAAACATCTTCCAAGCATCACAGGTAGACTAGAGATGTATACTTTCTGGAAATTTTTAAAGTCACAGGAATTTACTGGATTTTACAAAACTACAGTAAACAAAAAGGCATTATAATCATAAAATGCACAAAGAAACCCTATTCCTTACATTATTATGCCAAAATATTATAAATGCTACCTAATAAATTTATCTGAACCCTTTTTGGGTGGAAAGACGACAAATCGGGGGGAATTAACCAAATACTGCATAATTTATAAATTAATTAGCATATAAAATTATACTATTTGGTATATTTACGGAATTTAAAATAGAAAATCTTTATTTTCTATCAGAAAAAATGCAACTGTACCCAGTACTTGAGAAAGAGTTGTAAACTGCTGCATCTTATGCTATTACAGTACATGTATCTTAATTGTGAGAGGTAAGGAAAAATAAAAATATTCTGTAGTAAACAAAATAAGTGTAGTCTTTGGACAGAAACACACAGTCACAACCGGTAGGACTGACAACATTTAGATATTAAGTTAAACTATAAGACTGAAAATACAACTCTTTAATAATGTATTTCCATTAAAAGCATTATCGCACATTAATTGTTGCCAAACAATCTTGAAAGTATTGTATATGTCTACAATATATATAGAAGTAAAAACTTATTTTTCATTCCAAAAGGGAAAAAAGGAGCTTTTTTCCAGTCATCCCCCAAATTTTGCTGTTTTTCCTGGGCTTTCAGATCTCCAAGGCAAGCATAAGAATGGGAGACAGGATACACAGTTCTGGGTTTACCAACTCAAAAGATGATAACAGAGCTGGAAACGTCGTCGTAGGAAGCAGAGGGCTGGTGTCAATGGGCCTCAGTCTGACCCTCCAGACAATTCTTGTGCAAATAAATAAAGGTAATTGGGGTGGGGGCTTATTGGGCTCTTCTCACCTCCAGAATCCTGATCTAGACACCACAAAGCCAGGCAACAGCTTGACATACCCCCCCCAGCCCAGAATCCTATGTGACTTAGGCTACAGCC